CAAGAAAAGCTTTTTCAAGTAGTAAATGAATTAAAAATCAAATATTACAAGGATTATAAATCTTTTAATCCCCAAAATAATGCAGTATAACAGCAGTGCAGTATGATGCAATTCAAAGAATAACATAATAATCATTAAAAGACCCAGGTTTCAGTCTTGAATCTATTACCAATTTATGACTATGGACAGGTGAGTTTTTCTGAACTTAAATATCCTCACCTAGAAAATAAGGTTAAACTAGAGGTAATATAAAGTTTCTCTCAGCTCTAAATTTCCAAACCTGCAGTCGAAACACAGACTGAACATCCCCAATCCAAAAAAAATCCAAAAGCCAAAACAACTCTGGTCCCAAGCATTTTGAATAAGGGATACTCAATCTACACTAACAATAAGGGTCACAGGAGTTTAACTTAAGAATGAAGTTCTAAAAATGTAAATTTAAAAACTAGTTCTTTATTTTTTTGAGACGGAGTCTCAGACTCTGTCATCCAGGCTGGAATGAAGTGGCATGACCTCAGCTCACTGCAACCTCTGCCTCCCAGATTCAAGTAACTGTCCTGCCTCAGTCTCCCCAGTAGCTGGGCCTATAGGCATCTGCCATCACACCTAGCTCATTTTTGTATTTTTAGTAGAGACGAGGTTTTGCCATGTTGGCCAGGCTGGTCTTGAACTCCTGACCTCAGGTAATCCACCTGCCTAGGCCTCCCAAAGTGCTGGGATTACAGGTGTGAGCCACTGTGCCCGGCTTAGTTGTTTCCTAATTAGATACTTCTCTTTGTGATCTTGTTTAGAGAGTCACATGTGGCAATGCATTTAAGAATTTAGATAAGCTATAAGACTTCAAAAAGCCACTTCTATATTTCTCAGGACTTAAGCTGTCAATTAGAAATATTTAAGAACTGGGACAGAAATGGCAATACCTTAAGAAAAAGGGGACACTGATATTGTGCTTGAGGACATGCTGACCAGAACCAGTTAGGTAATGGACCTGCTTTGGCAGTTGATACAAAGTAACCAAGGGCCAATGGTTGCTGAAGAATATTAGGTACTTCATCATGAGCTTCTGTTGAAAGTAGCCGATCAGTACCCTGACCCTTAAAAAGACAAAATTAAAAGTATATTAGTTCATTCTGAATATAGATATATATCTCTATATCTAGGTATATATATAGCTGAAACAAGATATAAACACAGAATGGCTTATGGCAATCAGTCTCATTATCTTACGACATCAGTTTAACAAAGTACTGAAGGGTAGAAAAAAAATCAGTTTCTATGCACTTAGGAGTATTAAAATTGGAGCATTAATATAACACATTTTAAGAATTGCATTAAATGAATATGCCAACTGTTTAACAAGTCTGTACTGTTATGCCAAGCTCATGTAAAAGTGTGTAAACCGCCGGGCGCGGTGGCTCAAGCCTGTAATCCCAGCACCTTGGGAGGCCGAGGCGGGTGGATCACGAGGTCAAGAGATCGAGACCTTCCTGGTCAACATGGTGAAACCCCGTGGGCATGGTGGCGCTTGCCTGTAATCCCATTTACTCATGAGGCTGAGGCAGGAGAATTGCCTGAACCCAGGAGGCGGAGGTTGCAGTGAGCTGAGATCGCGCCATTGCACTCCAGCCTGGGTAACA